ATTTTATTTATTTATTTGCGAGAGAGAGAATGGGAGACAGAGAGCATGAGAGGGAGGAGGGTCAGAGGGAGAAGCAGACTCCCTACTGAGCAGGGAGCCCGATGCGGGACTCGATCCCGGGACTCGATCCCGGGACTCCAGGATCATGACCTGAGCCAAAGGCAGTCGCTTAACCAACTGAGCCACCCAGGCGCTCCGCTAATTGCCCAACTATAATCAATCACCTTTATGAAAACAATTTTTGTGGTAAGACCTGCTTGTATTGAAAGTTTTCATAGGCTCAGGAACATAAAACTCAGATATTTTTGAAAATGAAAAACTAAAGAAGATTACTGAATTTATTCTAGGATAATAGTGTCTCAATAGAAAATAGCAGTTTAAGGTAAGCACTGCTAAACAATCTAATCCACATGGAGACACAAACTGATGGGTGGTGGTGAGCGAGGATTAATTAGGAATAAGAAAACAGATTGCAGCCAAACTTTAAAAAGAATTTAAATATGCTGATGTTTAGTTTCCTTTAAACAGCTCCATACCTGGGTGCCTGGGTGGGTCATGATGGAGCCTGCGCCAGGCTCCCTGCTTGGCGGGAAGCCTGCTTCTCCTTCTCCCACTCCCCCTGCTTGTGTTCCCTCTCTTGCCGTGTCTCTCTGTGTCAAAAAATAAATAAAATCTTAAAAAAAACCTAACAACAAAACAGCTCAATACCTGATGTTGACAAATGTGGATACAGCTGGCAAAACAGTGTGTGTTAATTGCCAATATCACATAACTAATATTTACTCTAAGATATTTCTTCCAAATAATTTTCTGTCACCATCAGATATCCATATGCATTTAGCGTTCTTTGTTTATGCTTTGAAATCTATATATATTATATTTTTCTTTCTCCTTTCAGGATTAAAACAAAGTTTTATGTTCTCTACTATATCTACTTTAAGAATATTCTAAATATTGAAGATTTTATTTGCTCAAATAAATTGTATTTTTATGACAGAAAGAGCTCCTCATTGTTTCCATACCAGCGATATTTCACTCCAGTGTTTACTTGTTCTGAAATTTCACAGCAACAGAAATTCTATTATATATTATGTTTTTATCTGGTATCTATTAAGAGTGTGTTTGGCTGCAATTTGGGGGAAAAAAGCTGACTAGCAGGGACTTAACAAATAGAGGTTTATTTTCTAGAAAACTGGGCAGCAACATGTGGAAGAATAAAACTGGACCAGTTTCTTACACCATACACAAAAATGAATTCAAAACGGATGAAAGACTTAAATGTAAGGTAGGAAACCATCAAAATCCTAGAGGAGAACACAGGCAGCAACCTCTTTGACCTTGGCTGCAGCAATTTCTTACTAGACACATAGCCAGAGGTGAGGGAAACAAAAACAAAAATGAACTATGGAGACTTCATCAAGATAAAAGCTGCACAGTGAAGAAAACAATCAACAAAACTAAAAGGCAGCCTAATGAATGGGAGAAGATATTTGCAAATGACATGCCTGATAAAGGGTTAGTAGCGAAAATCTATAAAGAACTTATCAAACTCAACACCCAAGAAACAAATAATTCACTTAAGAAAGGGGCAGAAGACATGAATAGACATTTTTGCAAAGAAGACATCCAGACAGCTCACAGACGCATGAAAAGATGTTCAACCTCATTCATCATCGGGAAATACAAGTCAAAACCATGATGAGATACCACCTCACACCTGTGGGAATGGCTACAAATAATAACACAGGAAACAACAGATATTGGTGAGTATGAAAACTGGTGCAGCCACTCTGGAAAACAGTATGGAGGTTCCTCAAAAAGTTAAAAATAGAGCCACCCTATGACCCAGCAATTGCAGTACTAGGTATTTACCCAAAGGATACAAAAATACTGATTCAAAAGGGTACATGCACCCCAATGTTTATGGCGGCATTATCAACAATAGCCAAACTCTGGAAAGAGCCCAAGTGTCCATTGACTGATGAATGGATAAAGAAGATGTGGTATATATATATATATATATATATAACTAAGTGTAATATGTAAGTTTTGGATCACTAAATTCTACTCCTGAAACCAATATTACACTATATGTTAACTAACTAGAATTTAAATAAAGATTTGGAAGAAAAAAAAAATAAAGGTTTGTTTTCTCACATAACAAGTCTAGAAGTAGGGGCTGCTGCCTTTGGTTTACTTAGTAATATAATCAATAACATTATTTTCTGCCCCACTGTCATTAGCATGTTGGTTTTCCTTCCCTCTGGTTACCATCTCAAGGCCACAAAAGACTGCTGCTGACCAGCAATACATGCATGCCCAAGCTACGACAGGATGGAGGGAAGGGCTCCCAGCTACTTCTGTCTCTTTTTGTCTGAAAGGCAAAAGGTTTCCCAGAAGCCCCCTTAGCAACTTCTTACATCTTCACTCCACTACAAGCTTCAAAGAAGGCTGGGAGAGTAGGAAACGAGACTCTCATGATTTAGATTATCATGAGACATTGCCCAGGCATGGGTACATTGACGTTTCAAACAGAACTATAAATTCTCAGCGAAGAAGGTGGGGGAACAGATATTTGGTAGGGAGCAAAAAAGGGTCTGTTTAAATGACCTAATCATTTGGAATGTAAAATTCTTAAAGACTGGGGTTGTGTCTAGTCCTTTCCTTACATATAGGACTTAGGTCATAACAAAAATTGTTGACGGTACAAATCCTGTATTAGATATAGATATACGGACTACATTCTTTTCTTAAAAAAAGATATTTATTTATTTATTTATTTATTTATTTATTTATTTATTTATTTATTTATTTATGAGAGAAAGAGAGAGAGAGGAGGAGCAGAAGATGAGGGACAAGCAGACTCCGTGCTGAGCACGGAGCCCGATGCAGGGCTCTATCTCAGGACTCAGAGATCATGACCTGAGCCGGAACCAAGAGTCAGCCACTCAATCAACTGAGCCACCCAAGCACCCCTGGCCTATATTCTATATATTAAGGCAGTATCACTGAATTTCACTCAGTTGTACCAATAGGAGAGGTACTATACAAAACTTAGCTCAGACTGCTGTAGCAAAATACCATGCACTGGGTGGCTTAAATAGCAGATATTTATTTCTAACAGTTCTGAAGGTGGGAAGTCCAAGCTCAGGATGCCACCAAATCCAGATTCTGATGAAAGCACATATCCTGGCTTACAGATGGCCAACCGCCTTCTTGCTGTGTCCTCATATGATGGAAAGACAGTATTCTTCTTAAAAAGGACACAAATCCCAACATGAGGGCCCCATTTCATGACCTCATCTAATCATAATTACCTCTTAAGAGCCCCACTTTCAAATACCATCACATTAGGAGTTAGAGCTCAACATAGGAATTCTGGGAGGGACAAAAACATTCAACCCATAACATATATATGTAATATCTGATATTACATATATAAATATATATAATAACACATATATATACAGAGTTTTAGTCCAAGTCTTTGAATACTTATGGATTCCTGTGACCAAAAAATTGTAGACACTGAAAAAATACTAACAGAAAATAGTTCTAGCTTTTAAGGCATTAAAGCCAAGACATAAAAGCTATAAATACAAATCCAAGCTGAACTAAAATGTTATGTAATCTATATAATAATATCAGCCTTTTTACTTGATGGCCATTATGTATTAGCAATATAACGTATTTTTATTTTATTAGAATTTCCCAACAATGCTGCAAGGTAGTCATTGACCTCATCTTAAGGATTAGGAAACTGAGGGGCGCCTGGCTGGCTGAGTCAGAAGAGTATGTGACTCTTGGTCTCGGGGTCATGAGTTTGAGCCCCACGTTGGGTGTAGAGACTGCTTAAACAAGTAAATAAATAAATAAGACACCTGAAAAAAAGGGATTAGGAAACCGAGAACACTGAGAGTTTAAGCAACTTGTTCCAGGTCCTCCAAGTCATAAGCAATGGATCTGAAGTTTGGAATGGCTCCCCTTTTTCCCCAAAGCCATGCTTTCACATAGCACACATACACACCACCACAGGCTGCTTACTTCATTTTGTGACTAGAAGCCTCCCTCATAATGTTGCTTCGTTTCACCCTTTTTCGTTCCTCGCTTTTTCATGGGTGACTTAGGTAAATGGGCAGAGGGAAACAAGAGCAGATTATGGAGATTATAAAATGATGAGGGATGAAATTATAAAGAGAGACAATGCTAAGAGTGAGAGGTGAATGAAAGGGTGGAAGAAGAGCCAAGAGAAAACCCATGGGATTCTGAAGGGAGCAAACAGGAAAGGGGAAAGAAGAGAATGAACACCGACGGGTATTTCTCCAGGCTGTGGGTCAGTGGAATGGCAGTACCCCACTCCATGTCCCTGCTCTCTCTGATCTCTGGCCATCCGTGTGGCTTGGCCTTGTCCCTCTAACAGCAGGATTCTGGGAGAGGCTCGTGGTAGTGACTGAATTACACTTTCCCGAGCTATTTTTGTGTTGCAATTCTCCCTTGAAGGTCGTTTATGGTTAATCTCAAACCACATACATATTTAACTCTCCTTTTAGTTACATTCCAGAAGCCTGTTCTCAAACAAGCATGAGTTAATACTCTAAATTTCAGTAACCACAAGCTGAGATTAATCTGCCCTAATGTCACTGTGTTCCTCGTCTTCAAGTGAGTTTAAAGAATGATGTGGGAAAAGCCTTGCTCAATTTGCCACTCCTTTTACCCCACTATTAATGTAGCATAGAATCTCGTATATCCTCAGCCAGTATTGCAATCTACCCACCCCTCTTTAACATTTTCCAAAGTGGTCTTTCAGCTAGATTTGAATGCTTCCTGTCCAGGGAGTTCCCTACCTCTGCAAATAGTCTTTTCCACCTTTGGACAACTCTTTTAGAGACAGCTTTTTTTTTTTTTTTTTTTTGGCAGTCAGGATAACTGAGATATTCCACAATAACAAAGGCCTAAAATGTCAGTGAATTTTTAACAACAGAGGCTTATTTCTTACTTACATTATGTGCCTCCCCGAGGTCAGCTTGGCCCTGCCCCACTTTGACTTCCCTCTGGGAAAGGAGGAAAAGAGGAAAAGAGTTTATGGCAAATCCCATGCTGTACTGTAAGTGTCTACATTTCATTAGCCAACAAAAGTCACATGAAATCCTAACCCAGGGTGGGACAAGGAAAGGGGAGAAACATCCCAGAGAAAAAGAGCAAATATTTTGAATGATAATATAATCTACCACGTATTTATTGAGTTAAAATCCTTTTCCAACTAACATCCCACCTGTGGTTCTTGCTCATCATCTCTTCTTTCTACCAGTTCTCTAAGTATTAGAAAACTGCAGTCATGTTCTCTCCTTTCTAGTCTAATCAGCTCCAATTCTTTCATCAACCTGTTCCCTGTATTTAGTGTTCTCACCTAACATCCTCTTTTAGAGCCTGTTCAGCCATCTTAGGTCCCCTGGTGAGAAAATTGTTCGTTTATTCTCCAAAGGAGGGCATCCCCTGACACACTCCCCTTTGGGCTGATGGGTTTTGGCTGATACTGAGTGTACAAGACAAAAAAATAATAAATAAATAAATAAATAAATAAATAAATAAATAAATAAATAAATAAATAAATAAATAAAAAGCTTTCCTTAAAAAATACCTTATCTGATAGCTCTCCATATTTTTCATCAGCTCAGGCCCTTCAGCTTTTCACAAACTTCCAGGTCCCTTGGCTGTTACACATCAGAATGTGGAAATCTCGTGAGCACTTCTGAGAGCAGATGTCACATCCCTGACTATACTTTAATTTAGCAATTTGAAAAGGGCTGTGAATGGGAAAAAGTAGTTGTACTGGCAAAATTGCCCAAGCCTCCTGTTGTTGTATAGGACTGGTACACAGTATGGACTTCCCAAACAATTGGCCCCAGATCAAACCTGACTCCACTAAATACTACCTATGTGACCTGGGGCAAGTGACTTAACCCTGAGCTTTTATTTCCTCATCTAACGAGATTGGGATAATAATAGTTATTTTCTTCAGGTGGTTTTTGAGAGGACTAGATGACACGACAGGGGAGCTCAAAGAACGTATTCTCGTTACCATATTGAGGTCCTAACGCTCAAACCTATCTCTATCTCTATCTCCTCTAGCATCCCCTAGGCTCTCCATAGCTGTGCACGCTTTCTCTCCCCAAAATACCCTCTGGGCTTATGCCATCTTTCATTCCCAATGTTAAAAATAAAACTAGAGGCCAAGGTAGAGTCACTTACCCCCAGGACAGTAAGCCAAGACCTAATTGCAGTTTCAACCTCTCCAAGAGTGGAATTTCTGATCAGCACCAATGAGGTAATCTATCACATCAGTGTCTCCATCCCCCAAAGGAAGATGAGGCGATCCACCTAATGAGACCCCCTGCGCGTCCCCCTAGGGGAAGGTGACCTTGCCTGAAAGAATCCTTTCTTTTCTTTTGCTGTTAACATCCCTGCCCCACCCTTATTCCTATAAAAACCTTCCATTTTGTAAAAATTCCTCAGCGCTCCCTTCTATTTGTTAGATGGGATGCTGACCGACTCGTGAACTGCTTAATAAAACCAATTAGATCTTCAAATTTACTCAGCTGAATTTCTGTTCTTTAACACCAAGTTGGCATTAGCCAAGCTCAACCAGTATCTCTCAAAGTGTTGTCTAAGTATAGGCTGCATTAAGAAGCACCTGGGTGGCTTAGTCAGTTAAGCAACTGACTCTTAATTTCGGCTCAGGTGTTGATGTGAGATCCAGCCCCACAGCTGTTTCCACCCCCACCTCCACCCCCCACCTCCCGCTCAGCTGGGAGTCTGCTTGAGATTCTCTCTCTCCCTCTCCCTCTGCCCCTCCCCCCTGCATGCACATGCACTCTCTCTCTCTCAAATAAATAAGTCCATCTTAAAAAAAAAAAAAAGGAACAAGCCACACTGAAATCACCCGGTGGACCACTTGGCCCTATTTCAGACTTACTGAGTATGAAACTGGTTAGTCTGCATTGTAATAGGCTCTCTATGTAGGGTTGCCAGAAAAAATACAGGACTTCCAGTTAACTCTGAATTTCACATAAAACATATTTTTAGTATAAGTATGTATCATGCAATATTTTGGGACATACTCATGCTAAAAAATAATTTTTTATTTATCTTGAATCTTAAATTTAGCTGTGTGTTGTGTATCTATTTTTTTATTGAAATATAGTTGATACATTGCATCCTGCATTTTTAATTGCTAAATCTGGCAAATCTATCCCAGGGATTCTGATGCCTACTAAATTTGAGAACCGCTGATACAAGAGATTTGGCAAAAACATCAAATTCAACTTCATGAATTTCCTCTCAAGGAAAAAAAAAAGGAGAAAAAGAAAAAAAGCTACCAAAATAACCTACATATCTCATGAGTCCCAAAACAAATATGCAGAAGAGCAAGGGTGCAGTTTTCTCTTTTTCAGAATAGGTTAGCTTTTCTTCCAGCAGCCACAATAGCAAAAGTAAACAATCCAGGAGCCAGAGAAGAATCCATGTCCTTATTTCTCTCATGCTAGTCTGTTTGTAGCTTTGGCTTGGGCTTTAGCTGTTCCCTCTGTGTTTGCCTTTCCTTCCTTCTTTCTTTTCTTTTTCTTTCTTTCTTTCTTTCTTTCTTTCTTTCTTTCTTTCTTTCTTTCTTTCTTTCATTCTTTCTTTCTTTCTTTCTTTCTTTCTTTCTTTCTTTCTTTCTTTCTTTCTTTCATTCTTTCTTTCTTCCTTTCTTTCTCTTTCTTTCCACTGTTTTTTGTTTTTGTTTTCACTTTTATTACAGAATTTTCTCAAATGTACACATAAATAAAGAGACAAGTACAATGAACCCTCACATACCTGTCACCCAGCTTCTACAGCTATTCACTTTTGTCCATTTTTTTCATTTATAACCTACTTTCTTTGGTTTTGCTTGGTTTCCCTTTGGGTAATAGTATTTTAAAGGCCTTGCCTTTTTTTAAATTTAAATTCCAGTTAGTTAATATACAGTGCAATATTAGTTTCAGTTGTATGATATAGTGATTCAACATTTCCATACATCACCCGATGCTCAACACAAGTACACTCCTCAATCCTCATCACCTATTTCGCCCAATCCAACAATTTTCACCCAACTCCCTCCTGGTAACCATCATTGTGTTCTCTATAGTTACCAGTCTGTTTCTTGGTTTTCCTCTCTTTTTTTTCCCCTATGATCATTTGTTTTGTTTCTTAAGTTCCACATATGAGTGAAATCATATGGTATTTGTCTTTCTCTGACTGACTTCTCCTTTCTTTCTTTCTTTCTTTCTTTCTTTCTTTCTTTCTTTCTTTCTTTCTTTCTTTCTTTCTTCTTTCTTTCTCTTTCTTCTTTTTGGTCTAATATCCCTATGCTGGTCATCATCTACTCATCTTCCATTTGGCACTTCCTCTTTTGCTCTCTCAGAAGACATACTGAGTATGTCTTCCTCTGTCTGCCTCAACTTCCAAATATCAGAATACTCTGCCACATGGCCATCATTTCCTTAATATCCAACCCAGTCTCCCTCAATTTCAGTCCTCTGATGGAAACTTCCTAACTCATAACTCTTTGCTTTTATGTGTAATATAGTAATGTGTTGTGTTTGTATGGTTTGTGTGCATTTACGGAGTCCTTAAAATAAACATTGTCTTAGTGGATTTTCGCAATAACCCCATAACCTAAGCAGTTGAAGTGTCGGGGCTCAGAAAGTTTGAGACAGCAAGACTTTCGTCTGAGGGGTTTTATTGCTAGAGCAGTCCCTTTTCACTCCGCTGTTGCTTCACTTCAGCTTATTACACTTATGTTGTTCATCTGTCATTTAAGATAGTGATTAAAACACAGCTGTGTGACTTTGGGCAAGTTTTTTTTTTTTTTTTAAACCTTTCTAAGCTTCCATTTCCTCATTTGTAAACTTAGGTTACTAGTAGTACCTACATCATGAGGCACTGGATTTAATGAGACAATCCGGGTCTCAATGACTGCATTTTGTAAGTACTTCGGAAATAGTAGCCATTATTAAAACTATCATCTGGGCTACATCATCTTCCGGCCCAGCTCTTTGCAGTGCTGTCTTTCAGTAGAGGCAAAAATGGGAAATCTAAACCAAAACTAGCAAAACGAGAAGTACGAATGGCTGCACAAGGAGGTAATGGCCATCTAGGCTAATTTTTCTCTTAGCAAACACTTCCTCTTTCATACCATCCCCCTCCCTTTATTCTCACAACTTTATTCCTCTGTACATAACAGTTTTAGTGCTCCTGAACTAGACTCAACAGTCTGGAGAAGAACTAACCGAAATAGTAAGGTCCTTAGTCAAAAGCAGGGACTAAAGTGTGGTACCAATTGCTTGCCTCTTGTCTACCTTCTGCATTTATACTAACCTCCTTCACTTTTCCTTTGTTCCATAGTAATTGTGGTATCTGAGTGCCAGCTGGTTTGGAGCGACATTATCGCTATGTTCGTCTTCTTTTCCCATTAGGGTCTTTATATGATGATAAGCAGTGTGATAGCATGATACCCCTAGAGGATGAGATAGAGTGCCCCCTACTTGGGAGACCTCAATGCACTCTTTTGAATTGCATCTACTGGGGCTATTTTCTTCAGAAAATACTCAGGGCAATGGCTCTGTGAGGAATGGGAAACAAATGGGTTTTGCACAAGGCAAATGAGTGTCAAACTACAGAATAAGAAAGAGAGACCGTCTGGATCAGTAGGTCTCAAGTTAGGGTCACTGTGCAGAACCAGAGGAGATGTAAGCAGCATTCTCTTCTCACGACTGGCCCAGCACTTGTGTCATTGCTGCCTTTCTCCTTAGACACGGCACACCACTATCCCAAAGATATGTGCGGGGCACAGCAGAGCAGACTCCTCCAAAAATTTCTTTGGGAAGAATGTGATATTTGAGCCTTTTACTTTATTTTTTTTTAAATGATTTTATTTATTTATTTGACAGAGAAAGAGAGAGAGCACAAGCAGGGGGAATCTTAGGCAGAGGGAGAGGGAGAAGCAGGCTTCCCACAGAGCAGGGAGCCTGAT